TTTAGATTATGCTGCACAGTTTTGGTCACCGTATTACAGAATGGATATAAATTCTCTGGAAAATGTACAAAGGAGGATGACAAAGTTGATCCCATGTATCAGAAACCTTCCCTATGAGGATAGACTAAGGGCCCTGAAACTGCACTCTCTAGAAAGACGTAGAATTAGGGGGGATATGATTGAGGTGTATAAATGGAAGACAGGAATAAATAAAGGGGATGTAAATAGTGTGCTGAAAATATCTAGCCTAGACAGGACTCGCAGCAATGGTTTTAAGTTGGAAAAATTCAGATTCAGGAAGGATATAGGAAAGTACTGGTTTGGTAATAGAGTTGTGGATGAGTGGAACAAACTCCCAAGTACCGTTATAGAGGCCAGAACGTTGTGTAGCTTTAAAAATAGGTTGGATAAATACATGAGTGGATGTGGGTGGGTGTGAGTTAGACCTGATAGCTTGTGCTACCAGGTCGGTTGCCGTGTTCCTCCCTTAAGTCAATGTGACCTGACCTGACTAGGTTGGGTGCATTGGCTTAAGCCGGTAGGAGACTTGGACCTGCCTCGCATGGGCCAGTAGGCCTTCTGCAGTGTTCCTTCGTTCTTATGTTCTTATGTTCTTATGAAGGACATACATACCCATATAGTCTATTTTAATCCTCAGTTTAGGGATTATGTTATTCATGATGTTAGTGTACAGGTGAATTCCAGCCATGAATTGTAAACAGACCTTAAAACCTAACAGGCTAACTAATGAACACACAATATATTAATACAGGTGTGAACATCTTCCTAAATTAAATTCAAAACCTTTACAGTTTACATTAACTTCTATAGGATAACTAAATCAAAACAAAAAAGACCAAACCCATAACAAAATAAAGCATATTATTATTAAATGGTTATTACTATGACCATAATTTTTAAAGGGGTGAACTGGTAAGCCAGCAGAAGGCCTCGGTCAGATAATCAAAAACTCCAATGGCAGGTTATCATCTGACTAAGACCTGTGTCAGGAAACACTTGTCCTGTTTCCTGATGAACCTTACCTAACCTAATGTAGCATACAGCATTTGGATTCACTGAGGCTCACAGGATCCTATGACTAGGTCTTACACAATGCTGTAAAAATGTTTCTTGTTAGGTAAATGGACACAGATGCAACTAGTGTGACATCTTATTGTGGCAACATTTAGCTCTCCAGTTTTGACAAAGCTCCTGGAAACCAAAACATTGCCACAATAAAATGTCACATTAATTGCATTTGTGTCCATTTACCTAACATTCTGTCATTATTATTATTATTATTATTATCAAAGGGAAGAACATTCTGTCATTAAATAACAAAAAGGCACAATACCATGACTGGAATAATACATGTGCTGATATTTGTGTATTGTTGGTAATTCTATCATTATTACCAAAATGATTCTTGTTCCACCTGGTACCCCTGGAGTTTTATGACCCTCTGATCGCAAGTTCTATCCCCGCCTGTAGTATGGCTTACCCTGCTCTAACAAAACTGAAAAACAAACTACAAATCACCCAGAATTAAATAGAAAAATTCATCCTGGATCTGGATCTAAGAGAGAAGGTAGGAAAGGATAAATTACAACTGGAATTGCTGAATGTTACAGATAGGATAAGGTAATTAAAGCTCACTCATGTTTACAAAATTGTTCACAGCACTGTCTAGGACTCTAGAATATCTCGCTGCAGATTTTGCCAAGGTTAGAAATAAAAACCGGTATGATACTCGGGGAAGTGAACAAGAGTTTGTAGTATGTACCTATAGTAGGTGGTCAAGCCTCAAACACCTTTTATTATGTGGCAGTAAAGGAGTGAAACAGATTGCGTGAACATGCCAGGGCCAGTCTTAGCATAAATCAGTTCAGGAACAGAGCTACAAGGTTCTCAAGGTTTATTTAATCAAAAAAACGCTAAGCCACTAGGGTATACGCGAGTTCTCAAGGAGAAAATATTTCTTTAAGTTAAGTTTGTAACATTATACATGTATTAAACTGATTTTCTCTAATGTTCATATAAACTACTTAGTTTACTTCATACTTACTGTATCCTTTTTTATTGTAAATGACTATTTGCAGTTGATTTATTTTGTTTTATTCTTATGGTTATAACCATGACTTACTTCTACTGTATCTAACAGCTAGGCTGCTAATAAGATATTAATTGTACCTGTAAAGGAAATCTCACTGACTTTTTTTTGGTTAACCTTGGTAATTTACACATTACTATGCAAGACAATTGTAATCACCCAAAACTTGTGTAACTGTACTTGTGTAATTGCACCTCAATAAACTTAACGACCTTGAAAGGACAGACTGTGCTAATCACCAAATAAAAAAATTCTTGCCGTTTACCAATTCATTCTAAAAATCTACTAATCGAAAAGATTTACTTAAACTAAACAGATACACAACAATGACTCTGAGAATAGCTCTCAAATCCTGAGATCTGATAAAATAAAAATTAAATAATAAAGAAAAATGAAAATATTTTTTGTTGAATTTATAAGGACCACTGACAGCTTACGCAGTATCGAGCCTTGCTTCCCAACGCACGGAAGATAATGCCCAATGTTGGGCCATGAACGAAAAGGGAACAGGAATCCATTTGCAAACAGAAAAAGGAACTTTGAAGTTCTCAAGTAGGCCAAATGTATTTCCCCTTGTCAAGCCTCAGCAGAGTGGGCTGCCTACACCCTCACTCTAGGTCACGAACTGACTTTCCATCAAATTAAAAAATATTCGCAGAGGTGAAAAATGGAGCTAATGAATGGTGCTCCTGTACGATGTGCACAACAGGCAGAATAAGATGTGGACAAGCATCCCAAAGATAAAGGGGAAAATTTGCCACAGATCGCAGACAAAAGCAAGATGCCCACATACTGGGCCTAAGGCTGGCACAGAAATTCCCAAATTATTATTATTATTATTATAATCAAGGGGGAAGCGCTAAACCCGGAGGATTATACAGCGCCTGGGGGGGGGGGATGTGGAAGGCATTCAGGCTTAATTCGGGGAACTGGAGCACAGATCCAATTCCCTAAATCAAGAGCCCCTCACCAACATCAAGGAACCTGCCTTGAGGGGGACAGAAATTCCCAAAGCTGGGCTATGAAGTTAAAGGGAAAGGGATTTCCCCATGCAAAAGAAACCGGAACAAAAAGTTCCCAATTGGGCAAGGTGGACTCCTTTTACCCAATTCCGCAGAAAACAAGTCCCTGAGAGAACGGGAGAAATTTGCTACCGAGTAAGACATCTGCACTCGACAAAGGCTGGCACATGAGTCCCAAATCCAAAATGAGACTTATCTTATTGTTGTTAAGCTTAAACAGG